AGATCCTGAATAAGCTGCAGTTTGCTCTTGTTCTGAAACTGTGCTAAAGTACACTGGACCTTGCAGCGGCCGGCACAGGTCCAGGCTGAATAAATAAATCAGGTGTGATTTGGCAGCGTCCGGCCGGAGTCTCCTGGCACTGCAGGGCCGGTCACGCTGAGCCGCTGAGAGCCGTGCAGAGGGCCACAGCACGCTGGCCCTGTGATTAATTTCACTGACAAAGCAGTAACCAATGATCGATTGAGGATGCCTGGGCTGCTAAAGAATGTTTCCTCTTCAGTTGCTTCAGCTTCTTCCAATGCCGTCTGATATTTTGATCACCGGTAAAGGCTGTGTCGCTGGAATTAATCAATGACTGGCAGAAAGGTCCACTGGAGTAAAACTTGACAAACCGCACAATGCACAGGCAGACAGGGCCGAAGAACGAGTGCGATGTGGTGCGAAATTCAGGAATTGTGTTCAGCTCTTCATGGATGGAGAGCTGTTAGATGTACATATTGAAATGCTATGCAAAGAAATTTAACATAATATCAACCTTGTTGGGTCTTCTTTGCATCTGAGCTCATTTTGTGCTTTTTTGGACTCATCTGCTTACATTATTGACTTATTATCCAGTTATTCATCTTAAGACTTAGTTATTATTAAGTAATTACTGTGTAACTACCATGAAACTGATAACTAGTTAAGAATTGAAGTGTGAACCAACTTACAGACCATTATATTACTGCCTTATCATTCAGTTAAATATTCAGGCATTTCTCAGTCACTATGTATATAGTTTATCTATGCAAACTATGCACGGTGCTGTGAAAAAGTATTCGCCCCCTCCTTATCAGCTAAAACAACATAGTCCAGCTGAGAATCATTTTAAACTGAAAGTTTTACCAAAACTCCAACTTCAATTAATCCAGTCTCAGTAAAGTTTGTTCAACCTTCTAGCAGCACCTACTGAAGTGCGGACGTGTGGACATAGCATGGATCGGTCAGTGGTGGTTAAATCACAACAAAACCAAATCTAACCAAACATAACGATGCTCCTTTTTATCCATCTCTAAGCAAAAATAGAACAAGAGAACAAAGCAGGTGCCTTGTGTTCTTTCTCCACGACCTCATATGTAGTGAACATTTCTCTGGAAAGACATTCCTGTCCATCAGGAGCTTTCGGTCAGGAGGCCAGGGTCTGCCGGATAAAGCGATCGTGTCTCCGCTGTTTCTCTGCTGCCTCACGTCCCTGCTGCAGGTGAGAGGAGCAGCAGGTGCTCCTGCAGCTCCTTCCTGCTTCTCCCTGGAGAACAGACACAAGGTGGAAATGTCAGATTAGTTTAACGCAGGGTGAACGTGCGCTGAGTGTTAATGTGGCATTAACCAAAGTTTTATTTGGTCTGATAAAGCAGAAGCTTCGTCTCTCCACTTTTGAATGGCTCATGTTGAAGACTCCCGCATGTATCCACAGCGTGGACCTGTGGAGCTCCAACACCTGAGCTGAAGCTCTGCTCTGCTGTGGGCCATTATTTATAGCTGTATATGCTAAACTCTAAATAAAAACTTCCTTAGTGAGCTGTTTGTTCACCGAGACGACATTAATTCTCATGTCAACAGGGCTCGAGTGAGTTTCGCATGATGACACTGTTGCACCGTAATATGTAATTCTAGAATCATAGTCTTCATTTACATGAAAAAGTTCATTTTTAAAATAATTTTTAATTATTCAGAACTTATTGCTGATCGTTTTTGCAGTCATCTTCACCACCGTCCTCTAATCTGTAATTATGTCTAGATTTCTTTTCTTATTGTCAATATGATTTAGATAATGTATCACCACCACCATCATCATCATCATCACTACCATCATCACTATATCATCCTTAACCTCACCATCAATCATCATAATCTTTACCATAATCATCACCATCATCACCATCATCATTGACATTATCATCACCATAATCATCACCATCATCACCATTATCATCACCATCATCATCACCATTATCATTGACATCATCATCATCATCATCATCACCACTCTCTTCACCATCACTATCTCATCCCTAACCTCACAATCATCATAATCTTCACCATAATCATCACCATCATCATCATCATCACCATCGACATTATCATCACCATAATCATCACCATCATCATTGACATCATCATTATCATCACCACTTTCATCACCATCACTCTCATCCCTAACCTCACCGTCAATGATCATAATCTTCACCATAATCATCACCATCATCATTGACATTATCACCACCATAGTCATCATCATCATCATCATCATCATCATCATCATCATCATCATCATCATCACCATCATCTCACCCCCAACATCACTATCAATCATCATAATCTTTATCATTATTATTACTATCATAATCATCACCATCATCATCATCATCATCATGATCATCATCATCATCACCATCATCACCATCACCATCATCTCATCCCCAACATCAGTCATTATAATCTTCATTATTATTACCATCATAATCATCACCCATTGTCATTGACATCATCATCATCATCATCATCATCAGTATCTCATCTCCAACATCAGTCATTATAATCTCCATCATTATCATTACCGTCATCATCACCGCCATCATTGACATTATCATCACCATCATCACATCATCATCATCATCATCATCATCATCATCACCATTATCATCATCATCCTCATCACCATCATTATCATTATCATCATCACTATTTCATTGCCATCATCAGTCATCTTCATAATATTTGTCATACCATCATAACCGTACACCATCACACCATCATCATCATCACTGTTATCAATACCATCATAATCATCACCATCATCATTACCGTCTTCAGTCCTATCATCATCACAATTAGCATCATCATTACTACCATTACCATCATCATAACCACCTTCATCAACTTCATATCATCATCATCATCACTGTTATAATCATAAGCTTCAACACTGTCTTTATCAACATTGTCACTGTCAACATTATCATTACCTTCACCATCATCATCATTACTGTCATCACATTCATCGATATCATCTTCATTACAGTCACCATCATCATCATCATCATCATCATCATCATCATCATAATTGGACGCTTCATCATTGTCATTACAGACATTGCCACTATAATTGCCATTTACATCACCATCATCATCATCATCATCATCATCATCATCATCAACTGTCATAAACATCATCAGCCCTGAAGCTATAATAATTCATTTGTGTAGTTCTTATAGTTAATAGAATTTACATGATGCATAACTATCATTATTGTTTTGATCATCATCATCATCATCATCATCACTGACATCAACATTACCATCATCATCATCATCATCATCATCAACATCACTGACATCAACATCACCATCATCATCATCATCATCATCAACATCATCATCATCACCATCATCATCATCACCCTCGTGGCTATAATAATGAAGTCTGTAAAGTTCTTATTATTAATAGGATGTACATAATGCATAACCATCATTATTGTTTTAATTATCATCATCATCACCATCACCATCATCATCATCATCATCATCATCATCATTATCAACATCAACTGACATAAACATCATCAGCCTTGAAGCTATAATAATTAATTTGTATAGTTCTTATAGTTAATAGGATTTACATGATGCATAACTATCATTATTGTTTTGATCATCATCATCATCATCATCATCATCACTCTCTGAGCTGTAACAGCTCTGTTTGTAGTGTTTACCCTGTCAGTATGACTTACTCTTCTGCATTAACTGAGCTGACCGTGGAGGCGGCCGTCCCCGCATCATCAGTGTTGTGGCACACAGAACATGACCACGTGCTGCAGCGCATCGATTTTTCATAAAAAGATCGCACATTTGAAAAACTCTTGCCAGAGAGTTTATTGAACCTGTGCATCCTCTCAGACTAATAGTCCAGTCCCCGAGGGCTAAGCACTCTCTCTCTCTCTCTCTCTCTCTCTCTCTCTCTCTCTCGCTCTCTCTCCCCTCTGCAGTGCGTTCTCCATTTGTCCACTAGAGGGCGCCGTATCAAACAAAGCCACAACAATGTCACAGGCACCACAGTAAAGCTCTACAGCTGCTCTATGAACTAAACCCCTATAATTACATGACAGTACAAAACACCATCACAACCCTTGATTCACCAGTGGATCTGAATCAAGTTAAACTGCATAATTAATGTAAATACAGTTTGATTGTCTGCTTAGTTGACTATTAATAAGCATTAATAACCATATGAAGAAGGAAGGAGCCACTGCTTTATCTCTGTGTCTCTCTCTCTCCCTCCCTCTGTTTATATTAGTACTATAATAATAATAATAATAATAATAATAATATAATAATAATAATAAAACGATCAAAACGTGTAGAACCTTTACATATATAGGCAGAAACATATGTGCGCGTGCGTGTGCAAAAAGCTCAGCTCAGCTCGTGCGTGTACCTCTCTCGTCCTGCAGCAAAGAAATACAAATAAATAAATAAACAAATAAATAAATAAATAAATAAAGTCCGAGTGGGAAAAAAAGAGAAGCTGAACTGAAACAGAACGAGGGAGGAGGAGAATGACGCGCGTGCGCGTCCCTATGTACTCGTATGTGATCCAGTGTGCATGTTAAGTGTGTGCACGTGCGCGCGTACATGAATGTGTGTGTGTGTGTGTGTGTGTGTGTGTGTGTGTGTGTGTTTTGCGCGCGTGCGCGTGAAAGAAAGGCAGAAGAAGTTAGTGTTCTCCCAGGACGCAGAAGCTCATGGTTTCGCGTGCAGCCCCCTTTACGGCTCACGCGCGCGCACATACACGCGCACCTCTCTCTCCTCCACCTCCCTCCCTCCCTCCGTCTCTCTCTCTCTCTCTCTCTCTCTCTCTCTCTCTCTCTCTCTCTCTCTCCCTCTCCTCATCCTCTCTCTCTCGCGCTCGCGCGCTCAGCCTGCCGGAGCTCCGTCTCTCTCCAACAAACCTGCGCGAGGGATCCTACACGCATGCCACTCTCCACTCGTTCTCTCGCGGTCTCTCTCTCGCTGTCTCTCTCTCTCTCTCTATCTGGCGCTCTCTTTTTTCTGTATGTCTATCTCTCTCTCTCTTCCCTTTTCCGTCTATCTTTCTTTCGCTAATCGCAACTTTCCTTCCTCTCCACTCGCGCGCTCCTATAAGGAATCCACAATGCTGCGCGTTTTCTGAAACAAGTCACGTCTTCTTTCCCTTTATTTGTGTGTTTTTTCGCTGCTCTGCGTAAAATGCCGAGGGCGCCGGAGTGAAGAGACAGTAAGTAGCCTCGAACACTCTTGAATTAACAGGTGCGCGAGGGCGGATATGCTTTTGTTGTTTGTTTGTTTGCTTGTTTGCTTGTTTGTTCGTGCTCAAAGCTGCGGCTGGGGTGGTTTTAGGGCTCGGTGGAGGAAGCTCGAGGACGCCCGGTCTGATCGCGCGGATGATTGATCAGCCTTTCAGGCAGATTGACAGCCTATAACATCTTGTGCGTGTGGCTCGTGCACCGATTTTTTTTTGCCGTTTCGTCGTGCTGCCTCGACTGGACTCTGATGGACACGGTGGACCGCAGTAGACTCCACACGCACGCGCACGCACGGTGGTAAACCAGCTTAACTTGGCGAACTCGAGGTAGTGGCCGTCACAGCCCAGCGCGTGAGGCAGGAGCCTTTGTAGTCGAGATGTCTGCACACTCTTTAAAAGGGTTCTTTAAGGGTTCTTTAGGAAAGGCAGTGGTTATATACGCTCTTACACACAGGGCGGAAGTTCTCTGAGCAATGCCATGGACGAACCACTGCTGGTTCCCCTAAAGAACCATGTCTGAAATACAGATTTGCCTTTACCGAATGTAAAGGTTCTGTAACAGCTCAAGGGTTCTTCCTGGAATCTTTGCACTATGTGGAGGTCCTTTAAACTTTTCTTGCACATCTCACTTACCAAAAATGGTTCTCCGATTCTGGGAACCAAAGGAAGTTCTTCTATTCCATCCTTTCTGGCACCTTTGTTTTTATGCATGCATAGAACCGTGACAACTCGAAGAACCATTTGAAGGCTTTGCACAGTTAAATGGTTCTTCACTATGATGGAAACCTCTTGTACAGATAGAGCCGGTTTAAAGTGGTTTTCTATAGCAACAAAAAGTCAAAGAACCAGTTTTTGGTACCACAGAACCCTTTTTGAACCTTTTTAAGAACCATTTGAATGCATAATTATTTCTGCCACCTTTATTTGTAGGCATGTGTAGAACCGAACTCAAAGAACCATTTGAATGTTTTGCACAGTTAAATGGTTCTTCACTATGATGTGAATATGTGTGTATATATATATATATATGGCCTTTGTAAAATGGTTCTCTACAGCACCAAAAAAAGGGTTCCGCTACTTTTACTCCACTTTAAGAACCATTTGAATGCATAACGATGCACATGGTTCTTCTACCTTGCATATGGTTCTACAGACCACCAAAAAGAGCTGTTGTTCTTACAAGTCGTAGTACCTCATTTGGTACTTTATAGAATTTTGCTAAGAGTGTATGAAGAACCAGGTCAACTCAGAGAACAATGTGAGTGCATAAATGGTTCTTGGTATGGTTGATGGTTCTTTACTATGATGTATTTATTGTATGTTTAAAAATTGGTTGTGTACAGCAGCAGAAAGGGCTCTGCTATTGGTATAGAACCTTTTTTGTACCATATAGAACCATTTTGGAGTGTAGCGATAACAGGAGACATGGGAAGCAGTGATGTGGCCATGCAGAGATGGCACGGTACCACTTTTTCTCTTTGAATAATATGTTGTGTATCTAGTACCGATACCAATCCGATATTTCTTCTTTAAAATCTGCTGAGCTGTTTTTAATTGAAATATAGGGAGCTGTCCACTCCGAGTGGTGCTGAAACGCTGCTTTCCCACATGTTCATGTACACTCTGCCTTTGCTCGTCGCACTCTCTGCCTGCTTTATGCTTCTAGTCCATAAAAACACACCGTCAACCATCCTGACTGTGTTTTTAAGGTGATACGTTGCCTCTGCACTCCTAAATGCAGGGCAGAGTGATTAGAATCGCATGTCAGTCTATGAGATAACCCACTTCTCTAAAGAGGCTTATTTCATGTCTTATAGCAGATACTTTCAGTATTTCTTGCTGTGCAGATATGTATAGGATGATGTCCTGTCTAAATATGTCCTTATTCATGTTTTGTTAGCCTTTAGCCTGGATAACCAGTCCAGTAAGTCAGTTTATCAATGCAGGAGGTGCTTATTTCTCAGTGTAGCCACGAATGCCTGGTGTTTTCATCATGTTTCATCTAGAATGTGCCATATATGTACCGGATCACTTTCTCAGTGCTCTCAATTCAAAGTCGGATTGAACGCACAGGTGCTGCACAGCTGAACAGTCAGATTGGCTCGCTTTCCTATGATCGTTAATAAGAGCAGAATTAGGGAAGCCTGAGAGAGACTTCATGAGGGAAAATGACACTTAGCACTGTGCTAGTGTTTTAAACACTTAATCACGAATATCCAGCTTTTTTTTTCCTTCCTTCCTTTTTACGACAGCTTTTTCAAGTCAAGGGCGTTTAGAGAAGCGTAATGGAGCAAAGCTGCCAGTGGTTTGGAAAGGAGGCTGCTGGTGCTGTTCTCAAGGTTTTAATGATGATGATGATGATGATATGGAAGAAGTTTTATTGAAGTTTTCAATTAATAATAATAATAATGTGAATAAAAAGTAAGATTTTTTTTTTTTTACCTCCTTTGATGAAAATGACTGCACATCATTAGGGAACAATATGCAAGAAATGCATATAATTATTCCAAAGACATACATTTGAATTCATCCTAATTAAAGACTGGACTGGTCACTTTTACAATAAAACTAATAATAATCAATGCTGCGTTTGGAAGAAAAAACTATTAAAATATCTTTTTTACTGTTCTGTTCAAAGCGTTGAGCAGATGTACCTGCTGTGTTCATTAACAGCACACAGTCAAATCTCAGAGTCTGCTTTTCAAAGCCAGCTCAAGCCCCTGTTGACCTTGGTGCTTTCCTCCGAAAGCATGTTCATATTATTATTTTACTCTCAGCATCTGGTCTTTTAAGATCTAACGGTTTAAGACAGCTTTATTGCCGTTTATAAAAGTGGTGCAGGTGCACTGGAAGTATTACACACTTTCATGCCTCCAAATAAAGTGAAGCAGTATAAATATAGGCGTATTAAGACACTGTAAACCTTCAGTCTTCAAATTCTGGCTTTGAATCCAGATTCCGGTCCTGGATTTTGTAATCTCTCCTAGTTAACTGAACCATTGATGTAACTGATTGGCCATTTAGTGTCGTAAACACAAAATCCAGGTCCAGAAATTGGATTGGAAGACCTGCTATAAACAGCCACACTATGTGCCTCACAGGAGCACTTCTACCAGGAGCTGGGCTCTGATTGATTAGTTGATTAGTTAATTAAATGATTGATTGACTGATTGATTTTTTTAATGCACATACAGAGGGTTGCCTCAAAAACACTATGTACACTCTGAAACACAAAGGGTTCTTCAGAGCAGTGGCATAGGAAAAAACACTTTTTGGTTCCTTAAAGAACCTTTCAGTGAAGATTTTTGTCATTTTTGAAAATTAAATATTTGTGAAGTGTGATGAACCCTTTATACAGTTTAAAATAACATAAATATTCTCTATCAAAGTAAATAAGGTCTATAAATTAAATAATTCCTTTTTTTTCCAGAGAACCGTACATCCAAGCCAAGAACCATTGAGTAACCTTTGTTTTTAATAGTGTGTGCCTTAACAAGGTGCTTCTTTGTGTGATTCCTCAGAAGAACCACTTTTGGTCATTCCACTGTGTGGCTCTCTGAGGATTCTTTGGAGAACCATTTTCATAAAAGAACCTTTGTTTTAAAGTTAAAGAACCTTCACAAAATGTGAAGGTTAGCGGAAGGAGCCTTGTGTTGGTATAGAACGTTTATATTATTGTGAAGGTTCTTTCAGCCTTTAAACTCACAGATCTCATGTTTTTCAAAAGTGGCTCTTTAGGGAACTGAAAGTGGTTCTATGGAATCAGAGAACCCTCAACTTTTTTATTATTTTTTTTAAGAGTGTAGAGACAATACAGGCTATTGTGAAGAATAGAAAAAATGCAGTAGGAGTGGTTTATTTATTTATTTATGTATTTATTTATTTATTTATTTATTTAAACCTCTTGTACAGATAGAGCCTGTTTAAAGTGGTTTTCTACAGCACCAAAAAGTCAAAGAACCAGTTTTTGGTACCACAGAACTGTTTTTGAACCATGACAATGTAAAGAACCATTTGAATGCTTTGCATATATATGTATATATATATATATATATATATATATATATAGATATATATATAGAGAGAGAGAGAGAGAGAGAGAGAGAGAGCCTTTGTAAAATGGTTCTCTACAGCACCAAAAAGGGTTCCACTACTTTTACTCTACTTTAACAACCATTTGAATGCATAATGATGCACATGGTTCTTCTACCTTGCATATGGTTCTACAGACCACCAAAAAGAGCCGTTGTTGTTACAAGTCGTAGTACCTCATTTGGTATAGAATTTTACTAACAGTGTATGAAGAACCAGGTGAACTCAGAGAACAATGTGAGTGCATAAACGGTTCTTGGTATGGTTGACGGTTCCTCACTGTGATGTATTTATTGTTTGTTTAAAAATTGGTTGTGTACAGCAGCAGAAAGGGCTCTGCTATTGATATAGAACCTTTTTTTTGTACCATTTTTGGAGTGTAGCTATAACGGGAGACATGGGAAGCAGTGGTATTTTTATTTATATATTATTTATTTACTTATTTATTTATTTAAAGTGCATATACAGATAAATCACTTCTGTATATGCTTTTACATGCAGGCAATAGAGGCTATTATGGTGTGTACAAAAACTGCACTCGTAATGGTTTCGCCTCTCCCCTCTCTCCGTAGGCGTCCTGTGCCCGATGTGCCACCCGATGGATTTTGCGCTCCGCTGTGCCCCCCCGTTCTCCTCAATCTGGAGACAAATCACGCTGCTTCCGTGACCCTTACAGCACCATGAACCTGAGCTGCAGGACACGGAGAACAAAAGAGTAGCCGCGTCGCCGCCTCCGGAGGGAAATAGACCGAAAGCGAGAGAAAAGAAAACTTACCACGACAGCGATGGCCAAACGGAGAGAGGAGCTGCAGAGAGATGTTTGGGCCGGTTGGCTGTTTCTGGTGTGGATTACCTGCTGCTCTGCGGCGCCCGTAAGCAATCAGTCGCAGAGTTTACAGAGTTTACGGACAACCTCGACGGCGGCCTTGCGAACCAGAGCGGTGGAAGGACAAAAAATCCTCAGCCGCGCCAAGAGGGGATGGGTTTGGAATCAAATGTTTGTGTTGGAGGAGTTCACTGGACCCGATCCAATTCTGGTTGGCAGGGTGAGTTTCTCTAATTGTCAGCTGGATATTAAGCTCGCTTATCATGTGGAAACATTAATTCTGCTTGTATGAATGTCTCTGCGCTTCACGGTTTAATTTTGTTTTGTTTGTTTTTTTTTGTGGGGGGACGAAGCTGAAGGAAGTGGGCAAAGCTGGCACTAACTAGACTGGCACTAGAGTTTCTCTACTGGTCTTCTTAAACCTTGCGACAAGCTGTGTTGTGCTGAGATAGTGTGGGCAAACTAGATAAGAAGTCCAGCCTGAGTCGGTTCTCTACAGTCTTAAAAAAAGATGTCTCTTCGAGGGTTCTTTGGTAAAGACAGTGGTTCTATATGGAGCCAGGAACACTCAAAGAACCACTTGCATGATTAAGTGGTTCTTTGCATGGTGAAACGGAATAACCTTTCTTAAAATGGTTCTATATAGCACCTAAAAGGGTTCTTCTGTTATTACAAGCTTGACATTGTAACAGGAGAACTGTTTTTGTTGCTATGTAGACCTATTTTCAAAAAGGTTCTACATAGACCTGAAGAACCACTTCCCCACGCAAAGAACAGCATACAAATGTGTGTTTTTTGTGTTCTTGGTTCTATAGAGTCTGGCACAGTCTTATATAGACTACCATTGTCTTTACTAAAGAACCCTTGAGGAACCATCTATATTAGGAGTTTAGAACAACTGCTCGGATCATAAAAAAGACACAAGGGACTGAAAACAACAATAATCAGTGTACAGTAACTGCATAAACTGCATAGTAACAAGCCGATGACATCATCTTAATTTATTAATTCATTTTTAACCAAAAATTTTAGAACCATTTCTTAAGTGTAGAACCATTTTAAAGCTCAATTACGAAGGTACACTTTTAGTTGCCTAAAGAACCTTTCAGTGGATTCTGGTAAATGAAGTGTACCAGCCTGAGGAACCACTATGTAAAATGTAAAGGTTCTCAGAATCACTAAATCACTATGTTTTTAAAACTTTTAAAAGGTTCTTCACATTTGCAAATCTCTTTTTCAAATATGGTTATTTAGGGAACCTGAAGTGGTTCTTCAATGGCATCACTCCAAGAACCCTTTGTGTTTTGCTTTGCTGGTGCTCATTGTTCATTCCAGCTCATTCACAAACTTCCAGAAGATTTAATATTGTGATACAAAATGCGAATCATAATGATATAATCAAATATTGTGATATCATATTTTTTTTTCTATCGCCCACCTGAACCTCCACTACACTCTTAAAAAAGATGATGCTTCCAGGGTTCCTTAGTATGCATTCATAAGGCATTATAAACATGGCTATAAATATTTATAAAAATGCATTGCACGTTATAGCCATGCTTATTATGCATTATGAATTGTTAACATAATACATTATAAGTACTGTTCATAACAAATTATAAGAGCTCATAAGTCGTATGTGTCCGCTCTAAGTAAAGTGAAGCGTACTGTACTAAAGCCTCCTCCAGTGTTCAGAGTGAGGCTTCAAGTTGAAGTATTTACTGAAGGATTTACTGAAACACTAAAACATTCACAATAAAGCACATTACAGGCTTCAAATGTCAGAGTTTAAACTAGAGCTGCCATCAGTGTTTTACCCAATGTGGGAAAGGTAATGTTCACCACCGTTAGCTTGGTATTTGTCTTTACTTTACGCTCTCCAAGCTGAGACTGACTTCTTTGGCACTGACACTATAACATGTTATTGACACTATTTATAACGCATTATATTAACAATTCATAATGTATAATAAACATGGCTATAAAGTGTAATCCAGTGAAATATATGTTTATAAATGTTTATAATCATGTTTATAATGCTGTATGAAGGCATTATAACATGTTATAAATGTGTTTATAGATGCTTACAAACATGACATTCATAGAAAGTGTTACCGACAATGGTTCTATATAGAACCATGAACACATGCATGCTTAAATGCTTCTATGTATGGAGAAATGGTTCTTTAGATTGATGCATATGGCTCTACTAAAAAGGATTCTTCTATTGTCAGAAGCTTGACATCATAACAATACAAGAACCCTTTTAGCTGCCCCATAGAACCATTTTCAAAAAGGTTCTACAAAGAACCATACACAACACATTCTCCATTAATATGAAGAACGCTTTCACTATGCAAATGCTTCTTTGAGTGTTTATAGCTCTACATAGAACCATTGTCTTTACGAAAGAACCAATGAAGAACCATTTTTTCATATACTCAAAAAAAGAATGTTATGATGTCATTTATCATGATAATATAACACACATTCATATTGCCAAACCTTTTTTGATAGAATGCAATAGAAGAAACCATCTTTAGTTGCCTAAAGAACCTTTTAGTGGACAGTTCTTTGGAGAACCTTTTTTTGTAGATGAGGTGTGAGTGTTCAGATTCTTTTAAATGTTTAATAAACTTCCACATGGTGTAAAGGTTCTAAGAAGAATCCTGAAATGTGTATAATTAATGTGGAAGTTTTTAAAGATTTAAAAAGTTTCCCAAATCTTTTTTAAACACTGTTTGAAAATGAAAAGAATTAAAGCATTTCTATTTTAATAGTCCACTATAGATTATTGACAGATGGACCAGGTGTAAAGAAACTGTGTGGAGATTCTCAGCCATGTTAGGGTTAAACTTTGAGTCAAGATCGGGGTCTGGGTTTAGGTTGAGGACAAAACCCATTGTTTTTGAATTTTGAAATATGTCCCTGTGCTTTTATGAATGTTATTGTACTTCAGCAGTAATTTATCTAAACAAGTTAACGTTTAGTTTCCCTACAATGTCAGAAAAAAGGTACTAACAGTGTAAACAGACCCCCAAAGATATAACAGTGCTATTAATTTCCAACCGTGTACCTTAAATGACTTGAAGAGGCTCTGCATTCACTGTCTCAGGGGAAAGGGGCATATTTGTACCTTCATCTAAAATATGAAAATAAAATAAAAAATGTCGGAGACAAGATGGGCTATATGGTGTTATGGTAACCTAAAAAATATAACTGTAATGGAATACATTACAGTCATGTTCCCTAATTAAAAGTACTGTAGAAGGTTCTATGGCAGTGACAGTTTGGTACCTTTTTTTCTGAGAATGTAAATCTATACACCCGTCCACTATCATCATTTCATGTATTAATCTTTTAAAAGCGATTTGACACTTTCCTAGAAAGGAGGCAGGTTCACTAGTGCACTATAAAACCCGATGAGTAAGTCAACTCAAATGATTTGAGGAAAGTTCAATAACACAAATCACTTGACCGTACAAAATTCCCTGAACTGAATATGAACAAACATTAGTTTCTTGCTGTATACACTTAAGTAAATGGAGTAAATTGCACTAAATCCATTTGTTTTGTTGATATTAAAGTGATTGAGTATTTGGGACTCATGTCTAAGCTGTACTAACTCAGTTAAATTAAGTAACTGTAAATTAAATTCACTGTTACGCTAAACTACACAGACGACAACACACAGATGAAAAGACACGCCCAATATGTAAATATATGGTACGAAGAGCCAATAGGAATGATGTGAGTTTTACTTAAGAAGGCTGCATTGACCAAACATTCATCAAGTAAAGCTGAGAGTCTAAACTGAACCGCAATAAGTTTATTCAACTCAAAGATCCCGTTAAGTTATCAAAATTAAGTTATGAAAAAAAGCACAAAAGTCCAAATGATTTAAATGTAAAACGTGAAAAATTTTCACAACACTAAATTTTCAACAGTCTTTAAAAACAACCCATTATTGGCCTGATTGTATTTGCGTGTAAAGTTAAGTTAAATAAAAACGATTTTTTATAACACATTTAAATGAAGTGACCTCAACTCAAAATATGCTGAAAAAAAAACGTCTTACTCAAAATGACTAAGTTACTAACTCAACAATTAATTTTTGGTGTTAATTTGACTTTTTCAGATTAAGTTACTCCAAATTTCTGCAGTTTTTAAGTTGTGTTAATGTAATTTGTTCATTAAGATGTGCACTGAGTTCTACAGTGTGGGCGTAGAGTTAGGGTTAGAATGGGTGGTGTTTTAGCTAAAATAGGATCTTAATAGATGTTTAGTTGACCGTTCTGGACGAGGAAAGGCTCTATAAAGATTGTACAGTGGCCTGTGAGGACTGACAAAGTCAATAGCAGTTGTTAGTAAAGTGTTATTCGTGTATATGGAGAGATATTTATGTGCACAGTGTCCTGGTACACTGGGTCTACTCGGAGGTCCTGAGAGGGTTCTGGAAGAGCAGGCCAAAGCAGCTTGTTCACAGATCAGTGCGAGTGTGAACCTGGGGAGACCCAACCTGGCTCTCTGCACCTCCCAACACACACACACACACACACACACACACACACACACCATGTGCCTCTGAAATCCTTTCCTAGAAAAATAAGCGGGAGCCGAGCATCGATTTCTTTCTTTTGTTCCTTTTTTTAAGTGCACATGCAGTAACTCTGCCTCAAAAACTCTACTGTATGTGTGCTTTTGTGTAGTAGTAGATTTTTACCCCCTTAAACTCTACATTCATTAATCTTAAGGCTTATTATTGTTTGGTAACCACTGTAAATAACTCGTTAATGGATATAAAATGAAGCCATTGGGAGTTTAGACAGTGAAAAACTGCCATTTGAAACAAACCTGAATCTTTTTTGCACCATGTTGGTTCATCAAGCACAGTTCATCACATATCATTAAACTCTTTCTCACAGTAGCCACCTCTTTGGTGGATACTTCCACTAAACTATGTCTTATTGTTATGCAGTAATGTTGACTAAATATATGAAAATGTGAATGATTTACAAAACTGGAAAATTCTGGATTTTCGTCTTCGTTAGTATTGATTGTGTGTAAGTGCTGCGTGTTCATTGTGCCAGTTGCGCAGGATTGTTTGATATGAAGAACGCTGACATAGTCTGTTTTATCTTAGCACAGTCTTTGTGGAGAGGTGTGAATAGTTTTTCACAGCAGGGGGTTCTCACTCATCCCCTTTCACTCCTCATTGCT